CGACGGAGGCTCCACCGAAGAACTGTCAGGAGCAGGGGACACCGAGGAGGAGGAGGAGGAAATTGTTGGAGCGCCGGCGGCGGCGCTCTCTGAGCAGGTGATTCCGTTGCTGAGGTACTTGGATCGCAAAGTCGATAAATACGCCGACCCACTTCAGCCGGGATCTTACATCGAGTTAGTGCGCAGGCGGACTCGCACTAAAGTCCACACCAGCAAGCTATTAGCTAGAGTGGACCAGGAGTTGAGGGAATTGAAGGAGAAGCATGAATGCTTGTGGGGTCAGTATAAACTTAATCAGAAATTCTACAAGTACTCCAAGAAGGTGAGGGATGGGAAACTGGAAGAGCTCACCAAGGAGCAGGTGAAGGTCACAGAAGCACTAATTTCTGAGCAGACCCAGAATCGGATTTTGTCAGAGGAGCTCGTGCGACAGACGCGGTTGTTGGAACAGTGTCAGCTCGCACGGCAGGCGGATGAGGAGGTAATCCGCAGGCTACAGTCAGAGTGTGGCGAATTGAGAGCGCAACGTGCTGAGGCCGAATCGCAATTAGTGATAGTTGAAGAGGATCGCAGGAAGGAGGCAGATCGCACAAAGGTGGAGACGGCGAGGCGTGTCGCCCACTGTCTCAAGGGCTACGCCCACTGGGAAGTGGCGGCGCAGGAGAAACTCACACTGCGTGAGTTTGAACTTCGCGCAGCCGGGTTGTTGTCAGGCGACAGTAGGAGTCGGCGGAAGGTAGCAAAGAAGCTCGATGCTTTTCTGTCGAAGGCGCAGGATACCATGTCCGCCCTCGAAGTGGAGGTGTCCGCGGCGTTGCAGCGATTGGGACTGCGCAGTCGAGCGGAAGACTGGCAGGGTAGGGAGTTAGTGCGCGGCAGTCCGCCGCGCAGGAGACGTAGCACAGGTTCCGCGGAGTGTAGTGTAGCGTGGTCCCGTGCAGGCGTGTAGCATAGTGCAGTGTAGTGTTAGGTAGGACTTAGAAGGTATAAAATAGTTCCAGGCGTTTTGCCTGGGGTTCTTTCCCATCAGAAGTGCAGATCAGGAACCCATTTCCTTTGCGTGTTTGTGTCCTTGAAATCTGTCACCACGCACGAGGAGTTACAACTTAGCGTTCCGCATTTTGTAGCTGAAGGCCTTCGGCCGAATGTTCAGAGCTAGTACATTGGTTAGAGACTTGAGTAGTTCGGATCTGCACCTGCGGGTGACTGCCGATGCTCAGAGCCAGTGACTAGTTAGATACTTGAACAGTTTCGCCCCTACACCTTCGAGTGTTTCTTTCCGATTGTACTCCTTGGGATTTTTCCCCTGAATGCCAAAGTGAAGTTTTGCTACTTCGTGTAAGCCTTGGTTGTAAATTCAGGTTACGCTGCAGCAGGTGCCTTGAGGGTAACCCCTGTAGTATTTCTGGGAATGACAAGTGTCTGAGAATTCAAACTCTTCAATAGACTGTTGTTGTGTTACTGGAATGTTTCACAGTGAGTCCTTCAGTGTGGACCTGTGTTCTCTGCGCGTTTCGTGAGTTGAGAGTGTTATTCACCGCGTAGGAGTGACTTCGATCCGAAGTAGGCAGTCCAAACCGGGTTTCCTACACTAGCAGCAAGCTGGTGGAAGTGTTGTAAAAGCCGGAGTTGGAAGTCACTGCCCGCAGCTTTGCCGAGTGTGCTCGCGAGAGACTTTCCCCCTGAAATCTTGAAGTAGAGGTTCTAACGGATCTCTGGGTTGTATTTCTGTAGTTTCAGGTGTGTGGGTGTGTGTGTTACGCTGCACTGTGCGACCTCCGAGTGCGCTCCGAGTGGACACTTGCAGTATTTCTGGGAGTGACAGTCGCCTGAGAATTCAAACTCCTCAATAGTCTGTTAAATGTGACACTTTGTACCCTGTGTGTTCCTCTGTCCCTGTGGGTTCGACCTTTCTACCACTATATTGCAGTTTTAGCCTTTAGTGGGTTATTACAATACCTGGCATATACCAGATCCATAATAAACAGACAAAAAACGTCAACTCCCTTCAGCTAGAAACCTGACGAAAGATGCCTTATACAGTATAAGCCTTGAGTATAAGTTATACTCGATAGTAATGAATGTGTAATACGAAATTTGGCCATTCCTGTTATTTTGACTGTCTAAGATGTAAGACAATGTACAACGAGGTTTTCATCGGACCGCGAAATGCAATGAAAACGTACTCACCATTCCGGACAAGACGGTATCAATAGAACTGATTTGTAAAACTTCAAGTTGAAGACAGATATTTGGTTTGTGGGTCGATCCAACACCTTTCACATTTCTGAAGATAAATTTTATGTTTGTTGAAGTAGGACACTTGCGAGGGAACGATTATGGGCAACAAAAAGCCGGTGAGAAAGCTCTGTTCTTGCTTTTAAGCTCTGCCTGGCTTGATGCTAACGCAACTGGGGAAACTAAGGGGGAATCTAAGAGATATTATGCGATCAGATACACTTAACTACATATCTACAGCAGCCGAGAAATAACCTCGGCTCAGACTTATGAGCTCCTTCTGATTTTCGTAGCATCTACATGACTTTATATCGGAAAAGCATGAATAGAGCTTTCAGCTTCTCCATGGCCACCGGTTGACTGTTTCAGTCTGCTGCTTAGAATTACTTGCACGGACCAGTTTAAGAACAGAAGGGCCTTCTGTTCTTAATCATCAATTAATCTGTTCTGATTATCTGCCTTCTGAGAAGGCTGATAATCAATATAAGCTTTAGATGGACCAGCTGATTATCAACTCATTTGCTATGTCTACTCTTGAAGATGTCGACCAGCAGTGTGACAAAGATATTTTGCATGTCATTGATTTTATTGTTGCTGGGTGCACCTTCCATGCACCAACTATCTTGGGACCGTAAGTATCCAGACATCTTAGGGACACATGACGTAGCAGGTATTGCAAGTGCAGGCATTTTACAAACGGGTGGATGCGAAAACGATGGCATTTATCAGACGAAGACATGGTGTTCAGATGTCTGCAATGAAGGTTCTGGATGTGGCTGTTGTGATGGTTCTGATAGAACTTCTGCTCCACAAAACCAACAACGAAAGCTTCAGCTAACTGCTGCAAGCTACCCCTTTAACAAACGGTTGGTAGGCAGATTCTTTACGGCATGAAGTTGCCATCGAAGAGATAAAGTAGAGCTAAATGACTACCATGGTTGCAAAGCGATGTCCTCGCTGGGCTGTACTCGCACTTTAACCCAAAAAAAGATATATGTGTGATAATATATGTTATGCAAGGAAGTAAATAAATTGTAAGTCCTAACCTGCCTTGTTTGGAATACCGTTAGAATAGTGGAACTCATATTATATATTAGGAAAATAAAAAATTTAATAAATAATGCAAAAAATCATACAAATATAAATATGAATAGAAAGATAACAAGAGTAAAAAAATAAAGATGTCATAACAGGTTAATACATCATTTTTCTTCAATTCTGTACTCATCATGTACATTGAATTATCAAAACTGTTAGCGCCTTTACCAATTGTATACATTTTTTCAGACTTGAAATGTTTTATCTTTTCTTAGATTTTACAATAAAAAATAAAACATTCTGTCTCAACTTAGAATGTGTTAACACGAAAAATATGGTTGATAATCACATGAATATTAATTATGTTAAAAAGAAATACATTTTAACGTATGTTACTTGAAAAATTGACAATATATGGCACGACTTCTACAACTGTGCATTGAGTAATTTTTCATTTTACTGGAAAGTTAAAGATATGTTAGACTTCCAATTCATTATAAGGGGGGGAAGTCTGGTAGATACTTCTATGTTATTCTAGGCATTGAGTGACAGGATTTGCCAAGATTGTCCTTCAACTGTTTGAAAAGGTTTGTAAAGAAGTTACTTCAAGCTTTTGGGTATTAATAATTATATCTTTAAAAGTGCTATTATATTGGAAAATATAATTTAGGATTTGAGATTTGTTTGAGGCTTGTTTTTTGTTGGTGTATAACATTTTACACATGATGATCTCTTCAATCTAAAATACATTGAAAGAAAATTGAGAACAAGAATAGCATATTTATCATATAGTGCAATGCTTTTTTAATTTGTGTCATGAAATATGTGTTTTGATGATGAAAAAAATCGAATTAATGTGATTAATTCCAAATTATAGCTGAGATAAAAGCTCAGATTAGGCTCATTGTAAAAAAGCGTTGTACATTTTCTTTTATTCTAGTATATGAATTACTTTGAAAATAATGATAATATAGTTTTAAAAGGTAATTATTAGAAATAATAATCATATTCAGCATGAGCAATAAAGATTTAGCTATTGTAACTCAAAAGATCAAATCATAGCCTATTTTTATGTTATTCCATATTCTTGTGGGCAAGTTTGATAACTCTAATGGACGATTGAATCGAAAATCACCAGTATGCATCATGAGCTTAACAAGTTTTTAATACAAATAAAAATAAAAGTCACTTAACCGGAATTTAAAAAGATTTTTCTTTTTCATAATTAGGAGAAATTGTTTTTTGCTTGAATGATAGAAAATTTACTACATATATATGATATTCTTGAGTGACATATGTTACTTTGAAGATTTTTCTCAAAGAAAATTAAATATACCAAACATTGAATGTCATAATTTAAACGTGAATCTCATCGTACAGAAAAAAGCTTAAGTAATCTGATAGAATTTGTCAAATTCACATCACTTGTGATTTTTTTTTATATACTTTTCTGACCTACTGTCCTTTACATGAGACATGATTGAGAAATGTCGATAACCGTTTGCTGATATGAAAAGTATCGTATACAAACTTTGTATCGATACATTCCATTCAAATTCAAATCGAATGAAGGATAAAAATAGTAACTAAGATTATGTATACAATGATACTTCAATGTAGCCAAAATACAGGCCACCCATCTGAGCTCATAAAGCTGTTGAATGAACAAGGGTCAGGACTTGAACATGGACATAGTCAGGGAGATACCAGTAAGCCTGTATGTCTCCACACTGGAGGTAGGTAGGTCATTGTCAGGCTCAAAACCAGGTACAGCTGGGCGGACTTGTTTCCTTTACTTCAAGCCACATGGCGTTGTCAAATCTCATGTGACAATCACTAGTTCACCTGGCATTCGCTGGTGATGGCTGCACGATTAGGTTTCTGCTTGGGATCACTGCTCAGTTTTCTTGACATCGGTTGGAAATTATGTTCTGGGCTTACTCGAGCAGTTCTGACTAATCTGTGCAACGCAGTAGGAATCTTCAGTGATCGATGCCTAATGAGCCCTACTCTCACAGATGTATATGATATATCTGCTTCCAGTGAGGTCAACAATAGTGGACAGACTTCTCAGTCGAAAGGGCCTGAGAATGATAGTTCTGATGCCCCTAAGTCCATTTGTGGGAGCAAGTCTAGCCAGTTTGTCGACAAGACTAGCGGTTCTAAGCACGGAACAATGTCAAGACCAGTGGAAGGAGCGATAATTGTCGGAGCCGGGACGTCAGGGCTTGCTGCCGCTGCATGCCTCAGAGAAAGAGGTGTTCCAATAACCTTGCTGGAGAAGTCCGGTTGCATAGGTTCGCTCTGGAAGGAGAGGACATATGATCGCTTGCATCTTCACACTCCCAAGGAGTTCTGTCAACTCCCGCTCATGCCGCTGCCTGCATCGTATCCGACGTATCCAAACAAGAAGCAGTTTTTGGATTATCTGCAGGAATATGTGAAGCGTTTTGATATAAAGCCCATCTACAATACAAATGTGGACAGGGCACAATACGATGAAAATTCTAAGGTCTGGCGTGTTCAGACCCAAGGTTTCTCATCTAGCAATGGAATCGAGAAGGCCGAGTATACGGCCCGCTGGTTGATTGTCGCATCAGGGGAGAATGCTGAGATTGTCATGCCCAAACTGCAAGGGATGAAAACGTACAGTGGGAGCATTCTGCACTCGAGAAATTATAAGAACGGTTCAGAGTACGTGGATAAAAAGGTGCTCGTAGTCGGTTGTGGAAACTCAGGGATGGAAATTGCACTGGACCTTGCCAACTTCACCGCCAAACCATCGATTGTGGTCCGTGACTCAGTAAGAAACTCGCGTCCATGCCTAAGTCCAACAACCATCAGGCGTGCACGTGATTTCCGCCGCCAGAGAGCGCTGAAGAATGTATTGGGTTTCGCTGGACTCACGGTTTTGTTTGCTCCTACATTCATATAAGGGAGAAGGTGCTGGTTGGGAAATGACTTTGGTTTGTGAGCTTGACAATCGAAGTGAAATGTGTGATATAGGTGCACGTTCTTCCACGGGAGATTTTCGGAGCTTCAACCTTCGTGGTGGCTATGCGACTTTCGAAAGCCTTGCCTCTTTGGCTGACTGATTGGCTGCTTGTATTTGGCACGTGGCTGACATTGGGCAACCTGGCGAGATACGGACTAAAGAGGCCCATCGAAGGGCCTCTGCAACTCAAGCAGAAAACGGGGAAGACTCCTGTTCTGGACGTGGGGACGATCAATCAGATTAAGAATGGTAACATTAAGGTAGACAATGCATATGTGATTTCTGGTCTGGTCAAATAACTATCGGCTCTCGTTTGCATGGCAAAATTTTGATGATGTGGTTACTGTATACTCTGGTCTACATATATCGATTGCATATAAAAAATGACTTCTCGTTGTTATGAATGAAGGTCGTTCCGAAGGTTGTAGCACTTACGACCTCTGGGGTCCGATTCGAGAATGGGGAGTTCGAATCATACGATGCAATAATCTTCGCAACCGGATATAGAAGCAATGTTCCGATGTGGCTAAAGGTAGCAAGCTGGTCCATACGTGAAGAATTTGTGAAAACTGTATCTAACTGTTGTAACGTGTTTTAAATGGTTTTACTGTACAGATAGTTCTATTAACCATCATGATTATTTTCCAGGGCAATTTCTTCGGGGAAGATGGATCTCCTAGTGCTTCAATGCGTGATGGATGGAAAGGAGAGAGGGGATTGTATGCCATTGGATTCACGAAGAAAGGACTTGTTGGAACTTTCACAGACGCCACGAATATCGCCAAAGACATCGGGAGAGCTTATGATCATGACATGTTGCAAACTGCTATTTAGGTTGAGGAATACAATGGATCATTGAAGATCTGGAAGGGCTAGGGTGGCTAGCAACACTTGTCGAAGTCATGAACAGATGAAGATATTGGCCATGGACAACTTCATCACGGACACAGTGTTCACAACTATCGAACGTCGAGGCAGTGTTTAGTAAGTAAATAGCTACTGACCCTCGGCAAATCAGAGGAAGTGCTGCTTCTTCTCTTGAGCTTGACTTCGCGTACAACACAATCACAAGGCAGCTGTTTGGGTTTACGCTTTGAATCCGCTCTTTCTCTTGTTCGTTCGCTCTTTCCTATGAAGGGATTCAAATGTGGAGCGGGCCGAAACCTTAAGTGCAAATGGAATGATGTGTTCCATCCCCTATATATATATATATATATATATATATCCATATATATCCAGATGGAAAACGATCGAAACCATCGAAATTCAAATATGATACATCGATATCGATCGCAATTCAACGGAAGAACTCTCCAAGAACTTGGTTCTCCCGTTCAGCTATGCGGCCCAAATTTGAATTATGACACGTTTGGTCTTGGCGTGAAGGCCGAGAGAGTATGTGCATTTTAATTGTGAAACTCAGTAGCTGTCTAATTGTAATATACAGTTGCTTCCATTCTATCCAGAGTGGCAGGTTCAATTCCTAAAAGAAGTCACGGTTTTTAGTTTTTTAGATCAAATAACAAATCTACAAATGTTCCTTAGATACGGATCAGCGAAAAATGTAAATGTAAAAGTAGCCATGTGAAGTAAATACACAAAGGTTTTTGACAATCCCTATACTAGGCCACTAAAACGTTACGTATAAAATCTACATGTTGGACATATGTTCAATTTTGTCGTTTTCCACATATTATCGGTTATAAGGAGAAGCCCTTGTAAAATCAACGATTACAATCTTGCAGAAATCATGTATTATAGTTATAATACATAGAGATATAAAATTTGACAGTTTTTATCGTTCATGAATTCGTTGCAGACACTTTCCAAAACCCTTTTAGGAAACCGACAATTGGGAAGAAAATTTAACTAGATCAGATTCTGCTCTCATTATAATTTCCTTCAAATTTATGCTTATTTCTGCAGTTACCCTGTTGCTAGGGCAGTCTTTAAAGGTTCAATGTCGAGATTATGTGAACTGTTTGTGCATTACTTTCAGAAAAAAATCAGTGGCTGGATGGAAGCGTCAAGATAGTAACAAAGTGAATCCATCCACATACACATCACGAGGTGATTTGCTGTCACCAGTTAGATAGCCTAATCACAAGCTCACTTTTGGAAAAAATGAATCTTTCCAGCGACAGTTTTGTCTCGTCAGCGGTTTCTCAGACTTCGTTTGATATTAAAGTGATATGAGGATGTGAGAACTTTTCAATTTTCATGCTTCTGAATTTTTGAGCTAACAAGGACTTTGGAGTCCAGATGAAAAATTAAGGAAGAATTTTCAGATTAGAAAGATAAGATATGCAACCCTTTTTCGAGTAATATATGTCTTTTTAGAATCCTGTGTTCAGAGTGTAGTTCTATCTGCTTAGAACCTGCAACTAGATGTAAAACATATATTGTCGATGCAAGTTTCTACTAAAATGATGCAGAACTGCTCTAACGTTGAAGTCGTTGAATAACGTTGACTTTGGGTCAAGATTCTTCCCCAGTTGGATACTTGTATTCATCTGAAAGCTGACACAAATGAAAAAAGATGGCCTTGGTTCTGAATGAAATTGAAAACAATCACATTAGTTTTAGAAAATGGTTCTCTTCTTCAGTGACTTGAGTAACGTTCCCTGTACTTTGGTGCGTTACAGACGCAATTTCTTAAAATCTAATCCCGGAAGACGAGTCCCTAAAATATGTACATAGTGTAAATGAAATGAATGTTCAGTTATCTCTCAGTTCTCGGCATCAATGCCCAACACCTAGTAACAAGAGCTCCTAGGTTGAAAAACCTGTAAATCATGTTCTTCCACTTACATCGCACGTCCATGACATTCCCTGCCACTTTGACTCGACGGTTTCCAGCGAAAATGTCTGTGGCCTTGCACCCCATCGCCATTTGACCAGCTTTTTTCCTTGCTCAAAGGGGGAATAGGTGTATGAGATATATCTCCCTCTCGCATTCAGCAGTTTTAGTAGAAAATATCAAAGGTTCATGACAGCCTACATTCTTGTCAAAATCGTCTACAAGTTTTTGATTAAATTATAAATCGTCTTTATTTTCTCCTAAAATGATTTTTTTACCCAAGAAACTAGTCTGCTCCTCAGGTAACCTACAGCTATAATCGCCTACCCGGGGTTTCTAACTAGTTTTGGACCAAATTCCTTTATGGTGATCCAATTCCACTTTCAGCTAGCAACTTCAGAGCTTTGCCGCATTGAGTGTCTGATTTTTTCATCTAGCAACTGTTCTTTGACACAACAGTATTGATGTAAATTGCATTAAAATTACCCTTAAAAAGTCACTCACGCTGTTAGTAGATCTAGGGATTAGAAATATAAAATCAATTTTACAACAAATCCTTATTTTAAGCACTTTTGATTTTTCAAGAATAACCCGTGACATCTGTTGAACAATTTCCACAAATTATATATTTCTCATGTTTAGAACCACTTCTCAACGCTTCTGCTCAGATGACTGAATGTTATGTATCGAAGTATGCTCGTCATCCATTGACTTCGCCTCCATCTTTGGAGAAACGGGTTCCTCAGTTTATACAAGTCGTCACGGCTTTAAATAATGAGTATCGAAATTTTATAAAACACGTGGGACATGCTAATGACCGTATGTTTAGTTGTGGCCCTTGGCTTGAATGGTTTTAGTTCATGGACTCCCGAAAGCACCTGGTCTGAATTGCATTTGCTTTGGCTTAAGCGAAGAGAATTACTAGATGTATCAGAAAGAAGACGATTAGAATTGCATACATGGAAGTGTTCTGAAACCCCATGATCAGGGGGTTGTGATTCAATTACACTTGAATGGAGAAATTTCAATCAGTTGCATTAGGGATTTGGAACTCTATTGTTTCGGGATCATAATCCGGCAGATCCAGTGCTCTATATTTGGTGTATATCCAGCCGATCATACATTGGCTGTAGAATGTATACTTTGAAGACTACTAAAAACCTCGTTAGAGTCTATGAATTGAATGAAAAATGGACGAGATGTTCCACGCATCAGGGAAAATTGCATACCAATGGACCAGCTTTGGATCGAATATGTGGTTGCTTATACTTTCTCGCAGTGGAAGCTATACGATACCGTCTGGAGACCTACCAAACTTCTTTAGAAACATATGGAACAGTCTGACGATGGGACATTACAACGACCTAGGGAAAGAAGAATTTCCAGCTAAAGGTAATGGTACCACGGTATTTTACTTTTACTTTTACGTCAAACGTGGGGTGTAACATTCTTATTTCCCATGTTTCCAGCATTGATGAACACCTGAGAGGAAAGCGCATTTTTCATTTGTAATTTATTATTTATTTCTTTGGTTTCGCAGTTGAATGCGTGAATTGTAGAATTGCAGCACATCTAGCTGTGGAACCTCTACTTGGCTTTTATCGATAGAAGATAATCTTGAAAACGATGAAGGCGAGCTGACCTCGAGGTTGCAACTGGAATCATGACACGATCATCGCTCTAGAACTCCCACGTCATATCATCTGCACATAGTCAAACCAGCAGACTTTCCTAAACAGAGCAGAAGCCCACTTCTCTACAGGTCTGAGTGTCGCTTCTTCACCAAAGTAGCATGTCCGTCTTCCGACAGTCCTCTCCATCTATTTGCAGACTGAAGTAAATTCGTTCACTGCTATATATGCTTTTGCCATTTGTCCATAACTTCAGATGGAGATTCCTTCTAACAGGACCTTACTCCTGAAGTGGTCTTTAAGAAGTCACTTACTTTGAATGCGACTTTTAGGTAGCATTCATTAAGAGGAAGGTCTCTTTAATAATGACTTTTTTGGACGCAACCATTCGTTTGGAGGTAAAGTAAAGATTAAGACTTGTTTTTCTCAAGTCGAGTAACAGGAGAAATATGCTTCGTGCCTTCACTTCGGGCCGCAGATTTTGAGTTCATTCAATTGATAAGTAACTAACTGTCTTTCCTGGTCTAGGAAATGAATTTCAAATGAGGTCAGCGAGTTGACACAAGGACAAATGCAAATGGCCACCTACTTGTTGACCTTCAATAAATATAATATACGAATAAAAACAACACGCCATGAACTACGGTATCCAAGAGATGTGCAGAACACCCAGATGTGGTTTAATTTTCCTTCATACTGTACTCGTGAAATTTTCAGCTTGCCGCGTGAATACTTCACAACGAGCTCCCTCACAAATATGAGTTTTGCATTCGTCTCACAAAGAGATAGATGCAGTGTACCAAAGAGCTGGCGGCTGAGAGTATCTTCGTTGTATAGCCGAACTTGCAGGCATGCACGTCATACGTCCAAAAAAATCATCAAATCTCAACGTTAAGACATGGCCATGCAAAATCACCATTTGCAGACATAAATTTGATAAATTCCCAGACAACAAGTCTCGTCGACGAGAAAATATTTATAAGACCCAAGTCCCAAAAATTTTAGCTCTCGTTTAGCTTCGTTCTAGTTCGTTTCGTCATATGGACTCCTTAAACACAACAGTATCGTCACAAACAAAACTAACTGAAGGTCCACATAAGCGCTATGTACTACAAAAAGCTTTTAAACATGTTTTGAAGCTCAGCAAATTATGACTTTGCGGTATCGATTATTGAAACCACTTAAGTTTCTGCAGGATCTTTACTGCAAATTCCACGCATTTCGACCACGTTTTTCTCGGGATGAATGCTTTTTCTGTATAATTGCAATTTTAGTTCCATGAGAACCTTTTTTCAGCTTCAGGTTTGACCTGACTCAGAACTCGAAGTGCTACAGACTTAGCCCTCGGGTGACAGTTCGGAGCTATAAAAGCTGTAGGCACAGTTACGACAACAAGACAACAAGCGAACCTGAACTGCCTGCTTATTCTGCACAATCCACGAGCCTTCACATTCCCTTCACAATGAGTTCTTCCTCTGGAGCTCGCTCCCTTGACTGCCCTTCTTGGCCCAAGCTCACAGCAGTCTTGTTTATGATCGCCGCACTTAATGCAGCTCCGGCTCTCACTGCGACGAGGAACCCTGCGTGTCCTACTGCCTTCTGGAATTTCGGAGACTCGCTGACGGACACCGGGGGCTCACTGAACGTCTTCCCTTGGTTCACGGACCCCGAACGCAGCCCCTATGGAGAATCTTTCTTCGGACGACCAGCTAAACGCTACTGCAATGGACGTGTTGTGCCTGACTACTTCTGTACGTTACAGTTGCCAAATACTCGTAGATCAGATGGACAGATCCGATCTTTCTGGTTGTATTATGGACATCTGCTGACATCGGTCGCCCATGTCCAGGCAGAACACCGCTATCAACACTGAGAGATCAGATCATCAGTGATTTCAGAATAATGGGCACCACATGTCAAAGACCATCATGCGTTCAGAGGGATGGTTAGGCCAGGACGAAAGTTGAAGATTTTGAGCTGACCGTACCTATAATGTCATGCATCGCCGGATGGTACACGGCAACGTAGGATCGATGGTTGCGATCTTCGTAGTCTAGGAGTTGCTAAAAATTGTAGATCAGCCTCGTCTTTAGCGCTGCTGGTGTGCTGGGCTGACTTT